CAATCAATATTATTTCTAAGCGAGGTCTCCAATAGTCGACTGTATTGATTGTTAAAATTCATTTCATTCGGCCACACACCTGCGCGTGTATTGAACCTGTTCACTTGAAACTGTGAATTCACGATGTTACCGAACTGCAAAACAGTATAGGATCGCGCTGTTACAGCGTTTGTAAGATCAAACTTAAGATTATTGTGATACAATTGTTTCAGCTTCAGTTGTCTACTGAACGATGTCAGTCCCGTGCTTTTTATAACGACAAGCTTCTTTCAAAAAAATGTGAATATTTATCTTGAAACATGTAGCCGTTTTTTAACCCACATTTTTTTCCCGAAATAGTGTTAATGAACAACAACTTGTTTTCTTCCTTGCCAATTGCGAACAAAAAAAAAGTTGTAAGCAAATCTTTGGATGAATTCGGAATAAAAAGAGGAAGCACGAAATGCATGCAGCATAGCAATGTATTTGTCGTATTTGTGTAAAGAATAAATGCGTAGCGTATGACGTCAGAATAGATTAACGTGTTTTGTGTTGACAGTGAGAGTAATAACGTTTGAAAATGATGATCACCCAATGACGATGACTACTTGTAGATGTTAGGTGAACTCGATTCAAACGTGTAAGGGTTAGAAATGTGAAGGAGTACTAGAACATGAGTTTGGAGAAGCACTGCTCATATTAGGTTAAGCAAAATGCTCTCGGAGATTTTTGAATGTTTCATTTTTGAAAACAAGGTGTTTGTTGTTGACAAGAACATGTACATTGCATATGTTTCAGTGGTTTTCAGTCCGGCCAATAAGGCTTTTTATACGCGGGAATATGTGCTGTTGAATTTGAAGGGTTGTTTATTTGTCTTATTACAACTCTATCTGCAGTAAATGATAATTCACTATTCCACTAATCTCTTATAATATTTGTATACGTTCTGGCTTAATCTATACTTTTTTTTGTACGAACATAAGGTAATAAATGCAATAGAAAACCAATTGCGTATTCTTGCGAAATTATGAAGACGTACAGATTTATTCAATTTAGTTCGGCTGACGATCCAGAGATTTTTCCTTTATGGCACCTAAAAAGATCAAAGTGATGCAGACCGAAACTCTGTTTGTTCTTCGTATTGTTGTCGTTTACATAATTATTCTGCATAAATACGAAAAAGCAAGCAAACTGTAGACCACTAACAGTAGAGGTATGCCGAGTATTTTCAGCGCATTTCGCACTGTTATGATGTTTTATATATTCCTAAAAGAATTGAGTGATGAGCAAAATCACGACCTCAGGCGGGAATCGAACCCACGTTTCATCCTATGCGGGGACGCGTGCTCTACCACTACCCCACTGAGGCACATTTACGCGACCACTCATTCTTCAACATCTCAATGTTAGCTGTCAGCCACCAACCTTTGACAGGTTTGGTCGGCTATGCGATCTCGCTTCATAAACCCAGTTGAGCTGATAGCTATTCTGATTACTAATACTCGAAGTTGGTAGTATTTTTAGCGCATTTCGCACTGTTATGATGTTTTATATATTCCTAAGAGAATTGAGTGGTGAGTGTTTTTGCTCACCACTCAATTCTCTTAGGAATATATAATACAGCAATGATGATTTTCGATGACATGAACGCAGTAGTCGATATCATCATTTTCAATATACACCTTCACTAGATGTCTGGGCCACTGGAGGCGTTGGAGCCAACCACAAATGTTTACAAATATCGTTTAACAAGATTAAATAACAACACTTTCTATGTGTTGAGCCGTTAAAAAACATACGACTCTTCGACAATATGTCCAGCTGAAACTAGAATAGTAAAGGAAACTTGATGATGAGAAGGCAAGAGCCGTGCAATAATGACTGAGTCTCTTAACTTTGAAAAAACACAAACTTTTATGGTTCGTTGACGAGACCGTCGTGCCATGAGCTAGTCGAGAAGAAAGCTGCAACCAGACGGAAACTTCAATAGTTATAGGTTTATTTACTTCTTTTCGTTCCGAGTTTTTTTTTAAGACGACGCTCCAATTTCAATATTTCTGATAATGATTATTTTTGAGCCACGCATATGGTCTATTATGGGGTGTTTGATGGAAGTGTCGACCTTGGCAGTCTCGTGAGTCGGACGGTACCCTTCTTCTTTAGCCAATGCTCTCGGAGCAACCCAAATTCTATAAAGTGATCGCTACGACGAACTACTTACATGTGCCATTAGGTGGAAATATCACTGAATCGACGGTATTTTACATTCGATTGATTGACTGGTATTGCCAATTATGTTATATCTTCCATTTCGAGTGTTTTCTTATGACCACTCTCAAATTTCAGTACGCCTGATAATGATTATTATCAAGCCACGCATGTGGTCTGTTATATAAGGGTTGGCTTATAAAGCCCGATACACGTGTTTCGACCTTGGCAGTCTCTTTATTTACTTTATTCCATATACAGGCACATTCCTGTAAAATCAGATGCTATGTTAGAATGGCGTTGTTTTTGGTTACAGCGGCCTTTTCAGACCTTTCTAGGATCAAAGTGCGTTATTTCAAAGCAGTTAGAAAATCAACAGATGACAATTCGTCAACAACAAAATACACCATGAAATATTCAATAGATACTTCACTTTATTATATTAAAAATTTCAAAATGATTTCCGAGAGTATGAAGCGTTTGTTCTACAACACATGCACTCAACACTTAGAAGTGAACTGTTTGCTCTGAAGTTCATAAATTTGGATAGAAAAACATCGACCCTTTCTTCTGATTAGACATAAAATGTAAGTGCGGGTAAATACCAGCTTAGAGATAGCACAGCAGCGGCATTTTCGTAATAAAACAAAATATTCAAGTCACTTGAGCGCAGAAAGAAGAACACGACTATCTCGGAAAACGGCGGCAAGGAAAACTTCTAAAAACATCCTTTTCCATATAGGAGCCACAAAGAGTGCTTATTATGACTACAACAACATCTGTTTTCGCTGACAGAATTGTGCGTTTTACGATTTCATAATGGAAAGATCACATCGTTATTGTAACGACAGCAAAATTTATCAAATAGGAAGTGCTGCTCAATTACCTACCCTATCCCAGACCATGTCCTCAGCATAACAAGAAAGATATCACGAAATCATTATCTGAGCCAACATGTCATGTGGTCTGCTAATGGGCTTTTGCACAGCCTGATACCCGTGTTTCGACCTTACAGACTGTCAGTCAGGCAGAACCCTTCGTCTTTAGTTTTCAGGCACAATTATTGGACGATTTTGCTTCTGAAATATCTTTTGGCAGGCAGGGCATAAGATCACCGCTGGTCTTTCTGCCACTAGCATAATAGCTAGGGGTTTGTTAGAATACAGTGAGGCTGTTTCGTCTTCTTTAATACGCGGCATTCTGTCGTGCACTCCGATTAGCGGAGCCACCACTAATAAGCATGACGTCCTCGGGGGGAATCAGGAGGTTGGGGACGGGTCAGTTGCTAGTACTGTGTGTAAAATTGGAGACTGACATGAACCCTGCTATTGCCTACTAATTTTTGTTGCCACTACGGTCAATGTTTATATGTTTCACTCCCCATACTTCAGTCAGTGCTTGAATAATGTCGTTGCAGCACAATTATCGACTCATTCTAGAAACATTGCATGCAATTGAATTAATTTTTTGGTTTTCGATTAGGATGCCTGTATCAAATGCTTGATCTCAAATTATCACTTCTGGCATTGTCCTTGGGAATTCCTCCATGCATAAGAATGAGAGGCTTTGACTTCATTAAATCGATTCTTTCCATCCGACAGGCGTTTGTAGTGACCTGTAAATGCCAAGAACAAGCTGTTATTGACGAAAAGCCACTTCGTCACTCGAGTGGAAATTTGTATAGCAATTTTTGGAGAAACTTTTACTTACAGTGAGACATGAATTGTGTGTCAAGACATTATGACGGTGACGATGTTGAAGACTGTGGTCATAGAAGAAACACCAGCTCGCAAAATATTGAGGATGTTTTGAACTGATACAGTTCACAATTGGAATAAAGGCTAATGTCTAACGATCAAGCCCTAGCTATATCTTTGAAGACAATATTTGATCCGCTTTACGATACGATTTCTTCCCTTTGCGGATCCCAGTACTTCTATCAAACTTCGTTTTCGTCTCTTTTTTGAATGTTTTAAAACACTGGTTGAGCACGTCTCCTTGCAATCTCGAGAAAAGCATGGCAGTGGCATTCATAAGGCGCTCATTGTTGACTGCCGGAGAGTGTTGGGGTGGGGATCAGTCCTACGCCGCGCCGACGACGAATATCACAATCACTCGGCCATATCTCCCTGCTAAGTCTAAGAAATCATAAATGTTGTCAGTGATAGAGAAAGAATTCAAGCCAACAGGAAAGAAGTTCTCAAGAAGTACTCTATTCAGTATGCTCTATGGTCAACAGGATCTATTCAGATATGAAAGAGGTCAAATTTGTGGAAATGTCAATTATAGTCAAATAAGCAAGCTCTATAACGGTTCATCGAGTTTCTCTCTTCTGATATTTTTATTGTTTCAAAATATTTTATGGTAAAAGTGAACAGTTTCGGAAGGAAAGCGGCCATTGCGGCAAACATAACGACTCTATTTCTCTGGACATAATAGAGTTACGCTTTTTTGTACAAACTGCGCATTGTCTAGATTATCTACGCAAGAAGAAATTGCTTAGTCTATAGCATCAGCCTTTGGTCGCTGGCAATTTCGTAAGTTGTCCTACTTTTAGTGTAGTTCCCCTTCTTCATTAAATGTCTATCATTGTGTGCATTTCATATGCGCTTCCTTGACAGATTCGTTGATTTCATTATACACTAGGAGATCGCTATGTTCTGAACGATGCTATATTGGTCTCCCATCGCTACCATATATAGTTTTATTATGTAATGTACATAATTCTTTTTTTATCTGGAGATCAAGTGTGTAAATTAGCAGTCCAATTAGCTCACACACACGTTGTAGTGCAGGAAAGCCAAAGGTCTCTCATTTCATGACACCTAGAAAAGTACGATTTACCCGTTGAATCCCTGCTATCGCAATTACCAACCCTTCAAATAAGTATTTAAACGAATTAGAGCGCATTTCTAAATTTTGCCATGAATTTATTTTAGAATTGTGAATTGCAATATGGATACCCGAGATTTTGTTCATTTTTATAGCAGTAGCGAGTGTGCATAGTATTAAAACCTTCCTGGACTTTCGTTCTCAGATAATAATGCATTGCGAATTCCTTGGTGCTATTGATTTAAGTTGGTCTGTTGAAGTCATTATAAACTAGAATATGGTCAGCCGAGTAGAGAGTTATTTGAGCCTGAGTATTATTCCGACTATTTTATTGATATCATAAGTGCATGTGACGCAGTGGTTAGAGGTGGCTGTGTGTCGCAAAGTCGAGGGTTTGACCTTCCGCAGATGTCACAAAAAGCCTTGCATCCCTCTGGGGACGGTAAACTAGCCCAGACCTGTTTGGGAGGATGAGGAGCACTGACTTGATACATCGTTAGGTCCCCGCGAGTCATTGCTAAGGTCGGATCTGCATTCACTCACTCTCGAACTCAAAGCTGAAAATTGAAGATGATTGGATGGCACATCCCTCAGAGATCGGTCAACGCTGTGAACTTTATCCTTTTGATATTATGAGTACATAGTATTAATGATATCGTATGGGCTTCTGTTATCTAATTGCACGACATTTATTCATAAAAAACTAGTTAGAAAGTGAATTAAACATAGGATTATGACGTGAGGTAAGTTTTGCAATATCTGAGTGGTACATGCACATTTATCTTTCGAATCATCGATGAATATTGAGAATGATTTGGGCAGTTGCTCTTGTGCTGCACACACATCGCACAGCCTTCTATGGCTTAGGCATGTCGACAATGTTCAGAGCTAACGACCTCATCTTTCAACCTCACTGCCTCATTAGCACTGGCAATAAGGCGTTTTTTGAATTCTTGAGACTACCAAAAAACAACGGTGGATGCGAGACGAATTGAGCGATTTCGCTATAAAGTTTGTTGATATGACAAATGATTGAGACGATGAAAGCCGTGCTAAAATTAGTAGATATTAGTGAAGACCGCACTGATGACTTATGTTGGCGCGGAATCATAACTGGCTAGTTTATTGGCTTAGAGTGAGAGCGATTCTTGCATTGATGGAATCTTTACTTTGCTTCACAAATTCCTGTTTTCCTTACTGAGCCCGGCATGAGGTTTTTATCAGTAAGTTGAAGAAAAAGTCTCTTAACATCTGTGAAAAATATAAATTTTAGATTTCTATCATACAGTATCGGTTATTGCAAATCCATGGGAATATCTCAAAAATATT